CCTCAATTTCCACTTTGGATGTGAATGTACTGCATCATAGAGACAGGAATTGTCAGATTTACATGTAATTTGTATATTTTTATTATTATGTTCAAGTTGCAATGATTCTAATAAAAATTTCCTATAAAAAAAGACATGCTTCTGCTGCATCAACCATGGCTAATGTTTCGGCTGCTAGAGTATATTTGACATCTTTTCTGTTTCTTTTGCCAAGCAGTCGGCATATATCTATTGTTATTTCCTAACAAAACAGCTACATGCCCTCCTTGTGATCCACCATCAATCAAATTGGCAAAAGAGGCATCATTATAAGCAGTGGCAAGTTTATCAACACAAATTTTGGAAAACACATGTGTTGCCTATAAGAAAATCACCATTCCATCCCTTCTGAGTAAGCCACCCCTTCTGGGTAAGCTGCCCCTTCCTGTTAAGCCACCCCTTCTGAGTAAGCCACCCCTTCTTGGTAAGCTGCCCCTTCCTGTTAAGCCACCCCTTCTGGGTAAGCTGCCCCTTCCTGTTAAGCCATCCCTTCTGGGTAAGCCACCCCTTCTGGGTAAACTGCCCCTTCCTGTTAAGCCACCCCTTCTGGGTAAGCCACCCCTTCTGGGTAAACTGCCCCTTCCTGTTAAGCCACCCCTTCTGAGTAAGCCACCCCTTCTGGGTAAGCTGCCCCTTCCTGTTAAGCCACCCCTTCTGAGTAAGCCATCCATTCTGGGTAAGCTGCCTTGTTTTCTGGTTCATCAACATAAATTTTGGATAATTTTGCTAAAGTGGTCAATATTACGGATAGAGTTTATGTAAATCTAAAAGTGGGCAATGATGTCAACATTGAGGTCAGTGGCATGAATTTGCACTTAATCATGAAATTGACTGTTTTGACCTCAATTTTCACTTATATATATATATATATGTATATATTTAGGCAGCTTATTTTCATTCAAGCAGGTTTGGTTAAATAATTTAGACATATTATGTCTATTTCAGTTTTAATCATTTCAGGTCTGCAAATTAATTTCTTGGTGGCTGTAGAAACTCCAAAGGGAGCAACTTGTGAAGATTAACAGATATTATGTTCCACTTGAGTTCTGGGTTGAACTTGGTTCTCAATAGGTGTCCAAGCCAGGGGTCCTTTCTGAGAGAATATTCATTTGTCACGATAGACGAAAACTCTGAGTTCACTTCTTGATGATGAAACATCACTCATTTAGTTTTAGTAGCATTGAATGTGACCAACCAGTTCTACCCCACCCCATCCCACACATTGAGCCGTACCAGAGGATAGATCAGCTGCCAAGTCTCTGATCATCTAGAACAGGCATGGGCAATCTTTTTTGAGAAGTGGGCCGCATGATGTTTGTCTCATCACAAAGTGGGCCACGCTACTGAAAAGATTCAAAGTAGTTTTTCATATAAGGTACCCAAGCTAATCCACTACAGAAGACCATGTGTGTAAGCATATACATTAGAAATGGTAGGAAAGTTTTATTTTTTTTTAGAAAATATTATTTTATAATTAAAAAATTAAAGTCTTGATATAATATTATCACTGATGTTAGTGTGATTATCCCATGTTGCTGCTTGGGAGTTATTTTTAATTTATTCATTTGAAAATGAAAACATTTCTTCTTTAGAGAAAAAGGTTCTTAAGAACATTTCCTCTTTCAAAAGCAAAAGATATTTACATGTACGATCTACCTTAGTGAAATGCTGACAATACAAGATTCCTTGAAAGATTACAAAATCCAAGAAATGTTCTACTTAATCATTGTTTATGCATGTGGTTATATATGAAAGAATGGGTGAGTGAACAAGTGTTGTAGCATACCTATGGTCGATAATGAGTATGCCCCCATTCCCATAAATACAGTAGTGAATACGCTACATGGTCTAGAGTCGGAGATTCGTCTCCAGCTGTGCTGGTCAAACTTTCTGCCTCTGGGCAGAGAGGATCCCCAGATGAGGCTATGCCGAAAGGCAGAGTATTGTCTTGGGAAACAGCTACCCGATCTTGTTTTATATGTGGTCTATGGGGATTTTTTGGCTCAGCCTATGGGCTTGGATACCCCACATTAAATTCGGCCTTGTGCCACATCTGACCGCAAGGGGCAGTTGGTAGATATCCTGCAGTTGGAGATTCATTGTGATTCACTTCTAGCATTTGACTACTTCTTCTACGTGCCGCTGGCGAATCTTATATGTGTTGTTCTTGTCCTAAGTATTATCGTTCATTACCCACCTTCGTTTGATTATTCTATTCAGTAACCTTCTCTAGGTTACAACAAATAATAATGAAACAAAATAAAATTTTAAGAAACTTTATTTTGCTTAGGAAATCAAACATGCCATTCAGAAAGACCGAACAGGCTGCATGTGGCCCAAGAGCCACATTTTGCCCATGACTCATGTAGAGCTGGAGCTGCACCCCATACACCATTCTATCATCAGCATAGGTAGCCACAAAACTGGAGTATACTCTTATGCACTGAGAAATGAGTCTTGCAGGATACCTGCATTGATCTTATGGGATGCAGAGGATTGGCTGTTAATAATTACCTTCATGGACCTATACATTAGAATAAAGTGGATAATTTAAAAGATTCAGTTTTTAAAATAATTTTTTGGAGAAAATAGGTTTTCTCAACTTTGGTAACTTATTTATCTTTCCAATTTCAAGGAGAGTGTCCTTCCGAACTTTTGGTTTGAAATAGTATAGGAAATTAACGTCTTGATTATATCATTATTTTCTCTTTGAGATACATGTAGCATCCATTTTAATTGTTGCTACTGATGAAAGTCTTCAAGTGATATGGTTTCTGTTATTTGGTAAAATTATTTGTTTGCGATTCTCTAGGTCCAGTCCACTAGTATAATAAGGATGGTTCTTGCTAAGAGCTACAGGCTTCATTCACTTGTAGCCAGTTTTTCTGTTATTTGGTAAAATACTTTGTGATTCTCTAGATCCAGTCGACTAGGTTTGAAGAAGGATGGCTCTCACTAAGACCTACAGGCTTCATTCACTTGTAGCCAGTTTTAATTATTGATCTGTGGATGTGGTTGTATACAGCTGACAGTTTAGATATTTCTGAGTGCTGTATGACATCCACAAAAAAGTCCTAATCTGGTTTGAAATAGTGTAGAAAGTTAACGTCTTGATTATATAATTATTTTCTCTTCCCAGATCATTAAGGGAAGCGTACCAGGATAAACACAAAACTCCCAGAATTCTAAAGGTAGGCTTCAAATTAATTTAATTCATTCTCAATCTCTTCCATAGGGTCAGTCATAAAGTAATGCCTGTTCTTCTTAAATTTATAACAGGTTTAATAGTAGAAGCAGGTAAAACATGAATTTGCACAAGATGAATAGACACATCTCAGGATTACAAATTTTAACATACTTGCCTTCATCCACAATTGTCATACCAAGTTCACTCAAAAAGTAATGCCTTTTTGTTCCTTTTTTAAAGATTAAATCAAATTTAATAGAAGAACACATAGCATACTGAAAGGAAGACAAAAGACTTAGGATACCAAATCTAGTTGTCAGCTTACACTTCTTCCTTCGCGATTATGATATTCTACCTTTGAATGAGGGCACATGTGTAACGACCATGAAGTAGCTTCTTGCTAGTTTTTAGCAATATGCAAATTGTCACCTTTACCTCATCAACATAAAATAATCACTGTCTTTTTAGCCCTCAACAGCACCTCCTACAGTCTCAATCGTGTTACAAGGGTTAATCAAAAGTCTACTAAAATTAACACAAAGGTTTCAGTATTTCAAATTTGTCAAAAAGGACTCTTTTCTTTTCTAGTGACATCATCCAGAACTGCTCAGTTTTGCACACTACTTTCCACTGAGTCCAAGTACACACCACCCAGCCAGTGATTGAACTCACATTTAACATATGATCAAATTCAAATATGAACTAGATGATATCCCTAGACACTGCTGGCTATTTAGCAATATGCAAATTGTCCTGTTTACTTCATCAACATAAAAGAACCACTGTCTTCATAGTCCTCAACAGCATCTCCTACAGTCTCAATCGTGTTACAAGGGTTGATCAAAAGCCTACTAAAATGAACACAAAGGTTTCAGTATTTCAAATTTGTCAAAAAGGACTCTTTCCTTTTCTAGTGACATCATCCAGAACTGCTTAGTTTTGCACACTACTTTTCTCTGAGTTGAAGTACACACTACCCAACCCAGTGATTGAACTCGCATTTACTATATAATCAAATTCAAATAAGAACTAGATAATATCCCTAGACAGTGCTGACTATTTAGCAATATGATCAAAAGCCTACCGAAAAGAACACAAAAGTTACCGGATTCCAAACCTGTCTAAAGTGTTTCTTTCTTTCTCAGTTACTTTATGAGGGTTCGTCAAAAAGTAATGTCTGTTCTTTAATTAAAAGGAATTCTATAGAAGAAGCACAGAAAAATTTACAGAGAAGGAAAAGAAACTTTTTCTACAGTTAGATTTGGAATTTTTTTTTGAGCTTCTTTCATTAAATCTTTTGCAATTAAAGAATAGACATTAATTTTCGACAAACCCTCATACCATGACAGAGAAGAAAAGAGACTACATTAGGGACTTCATTTTTTTTCTATTAAGTCTGTGGTAATTAAAGAACAGTCATTATTTTTTGTTTGACCCTTGTATGATTCCCCCTGAGGCCAAACAGATTTTTGTTGAGACTGATCTATACCAAAAGAAGCTGGGTTATAAAAACCAGATGTTTTCTGACCTTTGCTCCTTTAACAAGCTAAGTATTTTTCAAAAGAACCGTAATACAATATCAAAGAATCTTGTTTAGATAGCCCTGTACTACTTGTTCCCATGTCATCCAAGAGAATTCTTTGTAAAGGCAAAATAGTCACAGTAATAATTCTTTTATTTTGTTCAGCCTGTAATGATTTTTGAAAAGCCTACATATTCAGAACTAGACGATAAAGTAAATCCAATTTTTTTTTTCTTTCTCGCATTGGCTTACCTTCCAGACCAATTTGTGAGAGTCTCCAAATCTTGGTTAGGCTGTCTGCCAATGAAAACAAAGAAAGGGGAAGCTCAAACCAATGACCTTGAACCAAAAAAAAAAAAATTTTTATAATAGTTCTGCAAACGTATACATTACAGATATTGTGTTTTACATTTTCCATGACTTCAAACCTACTTACTTTCTTTTTTTACTTACTTTATTAGCTTACACGAGCATTTTCACCAGGGTGGGGCAAGAGTTATCGGTGTTAGATTTAGCCAGCAAGTGTCGGCTCACTTAAGTCTGCTGCTTTTCAATAAAGAAAAACAAAACTCTGCCAAGTGATACCAAAGAAATTACAAATTATCCATAATTCTTGACCAGCCTCTTGGAAACCTTATCTTCAGTGAGGCATAAAACTGGATATGTCCCTGCTATTCATATTTAGATGTTAGTTTTTGTGATTCAAACTGGTTATTTTAAAAAAAAAAACTCTTTATAACAATGAAAAAAAAAAAAATGTAATGTTTTTATAATAATAGGTGCATTTTGCTGTAAAAAATAGATATTATTTCATAATCTAAAAAAATAATATATACTAAACTCTCTGTTGGAATTTCTGGGAAGTGCCTTTTCTATAAATATTTTCATGGTAATTGTTCTCATGTACTTTCTGCCTTTCCGAAACTTTAGGAATTTAAATGCAGTACTAGATTAGCAGCAAAGTCTCACCATTTTACAGTTGAAATGACAAAATGAAACCGTAAGTCCTAGGCTGAAAGTTTCTTCTATCACACTTCTTACTTGTGGAACTCTCTTTTGGCTTCTTGCTTCCCAATCAACTTTGATCTTCAAAAATTTAAATGCAATGTCAATCAGTATCTTCTGTCTTGTTATTTCTTGTTCTTTTATTGTCGTTCTCCTTAATAGTAGTTTTTTTTTCTCATACTCTCTAACACTCAGTAATCTCTTATGTCTTAGTGGCTTTATTGCCTTGTTTAGGGTGAAATGATTAAAATAAAAATCAAAGAAATTATTATTTACACTATCTACATTCAGACTATTATCTTCATCTTTGTTGTTGTTATCACAACGTTTTGGCCATTGTGCTCTATGGCCTTCATTAGGTGTATATCAATCTCTTAACCTACAGAGAATTCTGAACTAAACACTTTATTTAATTGACATAGGTAGATAGTTCTCACTTTAGTGCCCTTTACTAAGGATATAATCTAGTACTGCTCAGTTTTGCTCACTACTTTCCACTGAGTCCAAATACACACTGCCCAGCCCAGTGATTGAACTCGCATTTACTACATGATCGAATTCAAATAAGAACTAGATGATATACCTAGACATGGGCAGTGGAATGAGAAGAGTCTATCCCTGTGGATTAAATAAAGGGTTCAGTTCAGAATTCCATGTAGGTTATGCAGATCTATATACACCTAATGAAGGCCAGAGGGCACAATAACCGAAACGTGATAACAACAACAAAAATGAGGACAATAGACCAAATATAAATTGTGTAAATACTATTCTCTTGAGTGATTTTGTAATAAAAACAATTTAAAAATTAACAACTCTTTTGCTAAAAATTACCTGATATGACACAAGACAAGTTTAGGATAGGAAAATTGTATCATGCTAATCTTTTAAGGGGTGAGTATTTGAGTATCTTGAAAATCAACATTCAAAATCATGTCTTTCACCAAACACAGATATTATGGTAAATGTATAATCAGATAAGCTTTAGATTGTGTGTGATTGTGGTTTTCCACAGCTTCCTATTTGTCTATATTTCTGAGATGAGGTATTATGTACAGTATTTGCATTAGTCGGACTATTGTCCTCATCTTTGTCACCATATTTGTAATGTTTCGGACGTTGTACGCTCCGGCCTTCTTCAGGTGGTTGGAATTTTGAACTGAACCCTTTATTTCGATCACTGGGGTAGACTGTTCTAGTTCCACGTGCCATGTTTGATGGATGTCAGTTATCAGTTATCTCCTGCTAATTTTCCCTCTGAGAGTTCTCCACTGCCTTCACCGGGTATTGAACTCACACTCTTTGGGTCCTGTCACTGGATCTAACCAATGCCTTTATCCACTGTGCCATGTGTCCATGATTGAAATAAAGGGTTCAGTTCGAAATTCCAACCACCTGAAGAAGGCCGGAGTGTACAACGGCCAAAACGTTGTGACAAATATGGCGACAATGATGAGGACAATAATCTGATTAATGTAAATACAGCTTCCTATTTCTTGTAGCACTAAGCAATGTTAATCCCCTTATTATATTTCCTACAATAATCTTGAGACTTGACAAAGAGTCACTTAAAATCATTTTCAATGATTAAAAACATGACCATACAAATTTTAAGAATAATAATAATAATAATAATAATAATAAAAATAATAATAATAATCACCCAGACATTGTGATCAAAGACCACAAAAACAGAATGTGCTTTCTTATTGACATGGCATTCCCTGCAAATTGTAATGTATCTTTGAAAATCTTCAAAAAAATCTATCAGAATACAAGGATCTTGAATGTGGAAATCTGTAAAAATGAGGATATCAGTATTTCCTGGAGCCCCTTTCTATAAATATTTTCATGGTAATTGTTCTCATGTACTTTCTGCTATGGTACGTAAACTTTATGAATTTAAGTGCAGTACTAGATTAGCAGCAAAGTCTCATCATTTTACAGTTGAAATGACAAAACAAAACTGTAAGTCTTATGCTAAGATTGATGTGAAAATGCTGATAGACTCATTGAAGGGATTCCTGGTAAATGGTCTACCAGGAATCCCTTTAATGAATCTATAAAGAAATACAAAAAATTGTACTCACAATTACAGCTTATATACTATAAAGAGCTTTATATATGTAAAATGTATGTAATCTTATTTTTTTTGTTTTTTTTTATGAAAATGATCCCTGGAAAATATCATGTGCCATTTCTAACCTTAGGTCTTTGGTTGGGACCCAGAAGGAAATGTGTACACAACAGAAATTGAAAGTAATAATAATAATTTTGCAGGGTTAAAAGCTGAAACCAAAGAATTTATTTTTGCTGCACAGGACCAATGCTTGCTAACTAGAAATTATCAAGCGCATATACTGAAAAATTGTGTTAACCTGAAATGCATATTCTGTGATAAATATCTAGAAAAAATTGACCATCTTGTATCAGGTGGCACCATATTAGCATGCACTGAATATAACACTTGGCGTGACAGTATGGGCTAATAGCTGCACTGGAAAATCTGCTAGTTTTACGGGAAGGAAACTGCAAGAACTTGGTATGAACATCACCCAGACCTGGTTACAGAGATAGGACTTGTAACAATTTTATGGGAATTTATAATACACACAGACCGAACAATCAAAGCTAATCACCCAGAACACAAAAACAGAATGTGCTTTCTTATTGACATGGCAGTCCTCACAGACTGTAATGTATTTTTGAAGATCTTCAAAAATAAACTATCAAAACACAAGGAACTTGAAGTGGAAATCTAAAATATGTTATACATGAGGACATCAATAATTTCAGTTGTAGTTGGAGCCCTCGGATTGATTGTAGAAGCTTCTGATAGACTCACAGATGGGATCCCTGATAAATCAAGAAATTCAGGAAGTGTATGCTTATTGACATAGCCAACACCACCTGAGAGAAACACTTCTATGAAAATTATCGAGAAATTGTCCAAATACAAGGACCTTGATATCAAGATTAACAGGATGTGGGGAATGAAGACTATACCAATAGTAATCAGAGCTCTGGGCCTCATGAGAAAAGGAATGAACAATTTTACTAACAGTGTTCTCCAGGTAACATCAACATACAGGTTTTACAGAAGATCGCCCTACTAGGAATATCCCATATGCTAAGAAAAGTGCTATCAATTAAATGACAATTCTCCTATAAGGCCTAAGGACCATAGTTTGTACCCGGCTATGCAGGATACAAAGAAAAAAATATAACATACACAAATAATAATAATAATAATAATAATAATAATAATAATGATAATAATGAGGTCTGAGACTGTATCAGTAGTAATCAGAGTTCTGGGCCTCGTGAGAAAAGGAATGTACAATTTTACTAACAGTGTCCCAGGTTACATCAACATAAAGGTTGGTCAGAAGATTGTCCTACTAGGAATATCCCATATGCTAAGAAAAGTGCTATCAATTAAATGACAATTCTCCTATAGGGCCTAAGGATCATAGTTTGGACCTGACCTTACAGGATACAAAGCAGGAAACATAATATATACCAATAATAATAATAATAATAATAATAATGATCAGTGGAAAATGATGATGATGATGATGATAATAGTCATCGTCTCCTGTGAGACTTCACAATTCAAGCTGACGCAGATATTGGATACACCAGACCAGACATAGTATTGATCATAAAAAGTTCCCATGAGTGTCTGTTGATACATGTGGTTTGCCCTGGAGGTCGCTACAGGTAAAAAAGTTGAAAAGAATGTGAACAACTCAGGGTAGATGTTGAGAGAATGCGGAATGCAAATGTTGCGCCAACTGCCACTGGAGCCGTGTTGGGCTGATTCCAAAGAATCTCCAGAAACACCTTGATACCATCAAAAATGCAGCCAGCTTAACAACATTGCAATAAAGAACAAAACAAAAAAACAACAACAAACAACCGTCATAGGCAGAGCAAATATCTTGCACAAAGTGCTTGCTGTCTGAGATTTAGAATCATTTAAAATTCTTTCCAATGTCTGAAACCATTACCATGCAAATTTCAAAGATTAATAATAATGATGAGAAAAATTTAATAATGTGAGTAATAATAAATATATTGAAATAAAATAACATGCCTTTTTATTGAACTGGCTGCCATTATGAAAGGGAAGGAGATGTTTGATGAGGTGTAGTAAGGGCATTGATGTTGCACACATGGACTCTCCCAGCTATAAATAGGAGCAGGTACTGCCTTTTGGAGAGGGAAGTTTCTACCAGTCAGCTCTCACAGTGGGGCTGAACATTCTTGCTGTAACACTCTCATATGTATATGTTTGTATTACTGTTTCTGTTAATATATTTGTTTAACTC